AGTCAAGACAAGTCATTGCTCAAAAAAAAATATCTTTAAGTCAAGTCAAGTCATCAATTTGAGATACGCCATTGCAACTCAAGTCAAGTCATCAATTTGAGATACGCCATTGCAAGTCAAGCCAAGTCAAGTCAAGTCATCGATTCGAGATACGCCATTGCAAGTCAAGTCAAGTCTGTGTTCTAACCAAGTCAAGTCAAGTCTCAAGTCATTGACTTGAATTTTTTTTTAAATTTCATAATTTAGTTATGTATTAATTTATTGAAAAAAAAATTAAATCAATTCAGTTGTAATACAAGTCAGAGATGTTCGTCGCGGCGCTGCTGCTGCCGCAGTGGCGGCGCGGCAGCGGCAGGTTTTTTAAAAAATCACCGCAGCAGATTTTTTAAAAGTCATCGCGTCAGCGGCAGATTTTTTAAAAAACCATCGCGGCAGCGGCAAGTTTTTTAAAAAACCATCGCGGCAGCGGCAGGATTTTTTTTGGAGGACATTGAAAAAGTGTATGAATTTAATAGAATTTCAGGATTTACAAAGGAAACGCCCTGATATTGAATAAATCTGATGCACTAGTACCCATATCTCTGGTCAAATATAGTCACAGCAGTGAAATTAGAAACACGTTTTTGAAAACCGTCGCGGCAGCGGCGCGGTGGCGGCACGTTTATTTTATAATTCATCGCGGCAGCGTTTCTTTTATAAGTCATCGCGGTGCGGCAGCGTCGCGGCAACATTTTTTTATAAACCGTCGCGGTGCGGCAGCTTTTTTTTTCTAAGGCCGCGGCGCGGCGGCGGCGGATTTTCAGCCGCGATGGACATCTCTGATACAAGTTGTAATTGATCTAACCAGTTTAACACAATAGGTCACGTATGAGGCACACTCAGCCATATAATTGCTTATATACTTGCGAGTGTCGATGTCAGATAGTTTTTTTTGTGAGATCAAACAGACTAGACGAATAAACAATGAATTGAGAATTCATTGTTTATTCGTCTAGTCTGTTTAGAACCTTATTTTATACGCACAGGTCAAATATAACCTGATGAGAATCTAATATGCATTGAAGTTGCAAAGAATATCTGTCTTAACTTGTATTTTTTTGTCAAGTCAAGTCAAAAAATGAAAAATCAAAGTCAAGTCACGCCAAGTCGCAAGTCATTAAAAAAATTTTCAAGTCAAGTCAAGCAAGTCAAAAATGACTTGACTTTGACTTAAGTCATTTTTGACTTGACTTGCCTATCTCTGCTAGAAAGGGTATGAGAAAAAATGCCTGCCAGAACTCGGCAGACAGGTTTTAAATGGCAGCTCGAAATTTTTGCAGTCAAGACATAAAAAGTAGGAGAGGCTAGTCCATCCTAACCTCTCCCATATCAAGGCGTATGACAGACACCTTAACAATACTCCCTGATTCTTGAGTCACAGACCGTGACAAACAGATTCACAACATACTGTCTCATCCATGATCATAAACCTTGTACCGATTACGCCTTGTTATAATACATAGCTAATAGTTTTTTAATGCATATTTAGGTGCAAGTGATGGGCGTATTCATTGTTGGAATGCCGAAACAGGTAATCGTGTATGTACTCTTGTTTCTGATTCTATGTCTGGTCAAACAATTGTTTCAATGAATCCAAAATTTATGCTACTTGTTAGTGCATCAAATCAATTGGTAAGTTTTTTTTTTTCATTTATATTTATTAGCTTTTTTTTTTAACTAATAATATTATTTTCTTTTTATTAGATTTTTTGGTTGCCTCATCTTGATGATTTGTAAAATAGATTAGGACACATACAACTGTTGTTATCGATGTTGTTTTGGTTTTTCTTGTTGTGAATATTGTTCTATTCTTCATCATACATTTTTGTTTTTCCTGTCTTTTTTTTGCAAATTTGAAGATTAAAAATAAAAAAAATAACGTGTTCTATAGAAAACCTAACCGTAATGTATTATGATATTTATTTCAAAATAAAATTTTTATTTTGGTGCAGGTTCAGAAAATAATTTAGCCATATCAAGTCTTGTATGAGCACGACTGTAAGCTTCCAATGGTCCTTGTGGATCGTCAGGCGCACTATAAGCCAAATAAGCAGTATTTTCATTATAATCAAGAATTAAATTAAGAGCATTTCCCGTTTCTGCAACACTAGTAATATTTCGAATGATATCCGCTGCATTTAGATGGCCATAACCTTCAACAAGTAGACTACCTAAACATGGATCATTTGATGGTTGAACATGTTTATCCCAATAGACAACATCTTTTAATCGTGGATGATTTGGTGTATCAAACATATCCTCCCAATCGTAAACATTTAATTCATTTGCACTATATTCAATACCGCGAAATCCAATATGTTCACCATTAATAACTGATGTATTACGTTCATATGAACCAAGACCAAGATGTATTGAACATGTTCGTTGAGCATTAATCAACATAGTCAAGGCTGTATCAATTGAATGTGAAAATTGAACAACATCACGAAGAACATATGTCCACGGATTTCCAAAACGTGTTGTTATATCTTGTTCTTTTGTAATCCATACTTTTTCACCTAAACCAATTGAAGCTTCACTGTATGCACCAAGTGATCCAATAAGACCAAGATAACCAAAATTAGCAAATGCATGTGATACATAATTTCGTTGTTTATAATATTCATGAAAATGATTTGCATAACCTTCATAGGATGCATTTGGATGATAAACAGTTACTGTAGCATATTTAGCAATAGGAGCTTTATCATCCCAATCAAGCGCTCGTACATGAAGTAATGTTGATGTTAATGTTGATTCACCCCATGCACCTAAAACAGTACATGCGGCTTTGATTAATTCTGGAATTAAATTCATTCGACGAACATCTTGATAAGATACACCACTACCAGCAGCAACACCTCGAAGTTCTTCATCAAACCATGGTGGTGTATATTTACGCGTTATTTCATAATTAAGATCAAGGGCACCTGGTAAACCTAATTCTGCGATCCATTTTGCGATAAACTATTAGAAAAAAAAATAACAATGTTACTCTACGAAAGAAAAGCTAAGAAAAAAAAATTTCTTTTATATTTACTGGTGGAAGTTTCTTCAATTCGTCTTCAATTATTTTATCCAAATAATCAAAATATTCAGGAATAAGTTCCTTCAATTCTTTACTCATTAATGAACCCAATGCATAACCCATATCATATGGTGTACCACCATAGACATGAACAATATTTATTTTATTATAACCTGATCCAACAACAAAACGCTTTCCATTTGGTACCGAACTTACAAAAGTAGGTTCATCTCGTACAATTTGATTTGTATTATAATTACCTTTACAATTTGGATTATCCGATTCAATCGGATAAATAACAACAAATAGACAAAGCAGTGAAAGATGAATGCTACTCATGGATAAAGGAATATAATCAAATGGTGTTGTCAGAATGGTCTAAGAAGGAAATCACAGAAGGTATTTTCTCACAAGCATTGACTTGTGCAGAAATACACATATGACATATGCAGATTTCTTTTTATTTATTTTATGCATTGTCATGATGATATTTGAGATACTTTACGTTGAAAAATGATTTTATATAGATAAAGAGCAAAAAATTATTCTTATATTCATTTTTGGTTTTATCAATATCACAAACTGCATTTTTATTAGTCAATATCAGTAAAGAAAAAACTATCAACGTGTCAACATCCTTGAAATAGAGTTTATAGTCCGTGGGTTTTCAGATTGTTGCCGTTACACCTATCAAAAATTAGACGCCATGCATCAGTATTAATGAATACTTATTCTTACAAAAAAAAAGAGTATTCGATAATAAGGTCAATGTCGTATTTCAAATATGATCAATAAATGGGGATCTAAGACATTCAACTACATCGACATCTTATTCATTTATATTCTAATCATGATTGATCCGTTAACACTTAAAAAATATCTAGACTCTTTTAAGATCATATATTCAACAGAATGAAAGACGATTGTCATACGTATATGTCGGTGTTGACTATAAAATATAGTTGTCTTTAAAAGGCAACTAGTTGACTTTGAACTGTAGAAACGTAAAATCGTTATGTAATAACCGATAGTAAAGTCAATTGTTGAATTAAAAGTTTCCAATATTGATCGTACAAATACTTCCTCCATCATTTTACCATGTAAAGAAACCGATAAATATCTCCGAAATGATGAATTTATGTACGCAGCTGGTACAAAAGATGGTATTATAAAAGAACATTTTGAGTCACTGGTGTTTTTAAATCTCACAACAGTGAATCTAGAATCATTACGAGCTGTTAATGTTGATGGATTACCGACAATTACTTTCCTTCAAGCAAGTCAAACTTACACAAATTTTAAATCAAAAGAAGCTTGTAAATGTTTCTGTAATTGTAACACAAATCGATGTTGTTGCAGAAAAAACAAACGTAAATGCAGTGCAAAATGTCACGGCAATAAACAATCAAAATGTAAAAATTGTTAGATCTCCTGTTGTGTATCTCATCCCATGAGATTTTTCGATTTCCTTTCTCACTATTGATATGACTTTGTTCAATGTTCATTCCTTTGTCTCAACTTTCTCTATTCAATAAACATGTTGTATCTAGCATATAAATAAATATTCACTATACGAAAAACAACTAGTTGACTTTAAAATTGCAAAGACAACTAGCTCAATCCCAGTTGTCTCTTCAATTTTAAAGACAACCCGTTGCTTCGAAGATTGAAAAGTTAACTAGTTACCTTTTAAAGGCAACTAAATTTTATAGTCAACTCCGATATATATGTATATGCATAGACACATTATATCAAATTTGATGAAATTTCTTATTTTAGAAATCACTACACATATTACAGCTTTCTCTTTTGTGTGTGATTCTTTTTTTTCTTACGAGATATAATCATCAAATTCAATAGATTGATATTAAATAAAGGCATATATTCGAAAAAGTTTTGATATTCATTTAAACATGTTTCTATTTCGATACAGCTTTAACAAATAATTTATTTATGACACGTCTTACATGAACTCGACTGAAAGTTTTCCATAGTTTTTGTGGATCATTCCATGCACTATATATCAAATAAGTAGCATTTCCATCATAATCAAGACTCAGATGAAGCGCATTTCCTGTCTATAGTAATCTGATTTCATTCTATGAATGATTAGATGCTTGTATGTCTGAATCGCTATCGATAACATTTTGTACTATTAGATGATTTAATGTATTGTACGTATCTTTCCATGAATATATGTTAGATGTTTGACTACTGTATTCAATAGCAATAAAATTTCCTATTTGTTCGTTATTAATTCAAGTATTTCTAAGTGATTTTTCAAGATATAGATAAGTTGAACAAGTTTATTGATCATTAACAAATATAGTAAACGTTACATCAGTGGAATTTGAAAATTAAACAACAAAACGCACAGCATACATTGATAATTTATCGAAACGTGTTATTATGCCTTGTTCTTGTGTAATCCATATTTTCTCACCTAACTAAATGAAGCTTTACTATATGCACCAATGAATCCAATAAGATCAAAATTAATAAATACATGAGTTTATAATTTCGCTGTTTATAAAACTCATGAAAATAATCAATAGAACCTTCATAAGCTGCATTTGTCTGATCAACAATTACTGTAGTATACTTATCAAATGGCTCTTTTCCATCTTCTTCAAATGCTCGTACGTGAAGTAATGTGAATAATAAAATTTAACCACTCCGTGTCGCTAAAACAGTACAATCAGCTTCATTCAATTATAAAAGTACATTAAATTGATGAAACTTTTGCTAAGATAGACCATTATCAGTAGCCATATTTTGTAGTTCTTCATTAAACTATAAAAAGAAAATATTTACGAGTAATTTCATCATTAAGATAAGGAGTACCTAGTTAATGTTATTCAATAATCAATTATTCAACTAGTTCTTCCAATGATACATCAATAAGATTATAGAAAGTAAAGTATTCATTTTTTTTACTATTGTTGATTTCTTAATATCGTCTTCAACCACATTATTCAAATAAGCTAAATATGAAAGAATAAGTTGTTATCAATATTCAGTCATTAATTTAACAACTATATATTCCATATTAAAGAATGCAATATCATATATGGATACAATATAGATTTTATCATAATTTTGTTCAACAACAATACATTTTTTATTAAGCACAATTCTTCAACATAATTTACTTTCACAATTGATTGAACATAAAATATTAAGACAAGTATATAAAATGATTAAATATGATGCCTACACATGTTTTTTAATATCATGATTACTATCAGCAAAACCAATCAAAACAAATAGTGAACAGATATTTTGTTTTCATTACTGGTTTCTTCTTTTCTTTTTATCAAGAAATAAATATATAGCAAATATATTCTGACGTTTTATTTGAAATTTCATATTTTTGGTCAAACAAGAAAAAAAATACGCATAATAATGAAACTATTTCACATCAAACTTGTATATGTTTCGAGAATTATAAAAAGAAAAAGAGAAAAACAAGCAAACTATTTTCACGCTTATAATAAATACAACCGGACTATGTATAGCCGTCGATAAGAAATCGAAAAAGAAAACTTGTGTGCAATTGGAAGAAACGAATATTTGAGAAATAATAAAGAAGAGTCTATTTAAATTTTTGCACAAAACTAACAAAAAAAGCAAATGCATGCCATAAATTTTTCTATCAATCTCAAAAACGAAAGGCAAATATGTGCATACACAAACGAATAAAATCAATGTAGGAAACAAATTAATTGCACAAATAAAACGAAAATACCATCAAAAAGAAAATATTGACGTGCAAAATTCGTTTCTAATCTCATTGGAAGTTAATAAAGAAAATGATCATTTTTCAATGTGTTGATGATCTTGTATTTGATGTTAATTGATCAATTACACTAGGTGCAAATACCTTACGTGCTGCTTTTAATACAGCCTCTCGTGTAACAAGAGTTGGTTGTGAACTCCAATGATTATTTTTTGTTAGTATTGGCTGATAACCATTTAATGTTTGATATATAAATGATGAATTAGTATTATTACTAAGTGTTGACATCATAGTATTTGACCATCGTCCAGAATCAGTTAATACTTGATTTGGTATTGTTTCAAAAGATTCATACATTCTTGGCGTATTACGATTAATTGTACGAATATTTCTTATAACTGGAGCCACATCAGCAACAGATAATTTTGTTAAATCAATTGTTGTTGTTTTTATATGTTGCTTTTGGCTTTCATCTATATTTGATGTTGGAAGAAGTGACATATATTCACGTTGAGTTTGTCGTAATTCTTTTAATGTTTGCTCCATTTGAATAACATCACTATCTGTATCACTTAATTGTTCAGCTTCATCATCATCATTATGAAAACCATTTTTATTTTTACTAGTAAGATTTTTTGGAGTAAAATCTTCATCATCATCGTCATCATCATCTTCATCATTTTCATTCCCCTTTGTTAATGATCTACGACTAATAGATAATTGTACTTGTCGATTACTTTCCTCAATTGCTTTCAATTGTATTTCAGCATCTTGTAATTTTCGTTCAACTGCTGCTTTATCACTACGTAATTGATCCATTGTTCGTTGTAGTGTTGAACTAAGATTATCTTTCTATAATATATAAATATTATAGCATCATAATTTTTGTTAGATTATCAATTTATTAGAGTAGAGTTCTTTTTCTATAGCGTGTTTCAATTGAATTTCTCTTTAAATACTATCTGAGTATTCAAAAGTTCATTTTTGTGAATCTCTGTATCTCAATAAATACTCAGACAATAATTAAAGTTATATCTGTTTATACATACAAAAATAAATGAAGGACTAAAGTTCAATTCATTATAGCTGTATATTGTAGTAAAAAAATATAAGATTTTTCTTTAATGTACATTTTATTCTCTGAACTTTGTGTCTTATTCATGGTTGATATACCATGATACTAAACTGAAAGATTTCGGCTAACGAAAAAAGTCCTTCAAATGATAAACCGTTTTTGACTTGAGACAATATGCATTATGTAGATCACAATAAGCATTGAATACTCTGAAAAGAATTCGTGTTCTTAGCTTATTGTTGTGGAGACACCAGTATTTCATGGTATTTTTTAAACGAATGCTATGATCCTTTTCAAGATCAAATCTATCGGTTTATATGAGCAATGTAAAAGAATACGATTACCATAGTTGTATCTTAGGATAAGAACAGCGACTAAATTTAAACATTCACAAGAAACTATTTTCGTTAAGACGTATCTCTATGCAAACGTTCAAGTCGAAGTGAGAAAATAAGTTTTCTGGCGTTCGTAAGAAGGCCTATGGCACTCATTTAAAAAATACTCTAGTACATAATCCACATTGTCTTGGGTCAAAAGCGATTTATTAATTGAAGGACTTTCTTCATAAAAGATCAATGGATCTACACGAATTAACACTGAAGCTATTGATGTTATTAGTATTTTCAAATGGTAGCATCAATTAGATTGCTTAATTTAGTTTTAATTCGTATAGTGTATTTGAGCTTTAATGGATGCATTCATTGTTTTCTTAGTTTTGTTGTAATTGACGTAATCTATATCTGCACATGGAACATTTTGGAATCAGTAAGTTTATGGCAGATAGAAAGACATCACAATACCTCTTTTAAATGTTTTTCTAATTTATCTCTATCAGCCTTGGCTTGTTCATAACGTCGATTCAAATCATCAATTTCATTTTTATGACGATTTTCTATAAGACGTAATCTCTAAAAATAAAACACATGTCTATGAATGAAGAAAATTTTGTATACCAATGAGACCTCTTCGAATTCACTGTTCTCTCGGTTAAGTTTATCTTGTAAAGAACGAATTTGTGCATTAGAGTTATGTTGTTGATCAAGTATATTTTTATATACATTCAGATCTGATTGCATACTTTCTCTATAATTAAAACAAAAAATTTATTCTTTAGTAAACTATTTTGTTTTTGTTTGTTTTTAATTACCGTAATTTTTTTTGCATTTCTTCTTTCTCCCTCTCAATGGCTTGTTTAATGTTATTTAATTCTTCTTGTTTTCGATTTTCTAATAATTTTTTTTCGCGTGCAAGATTTTCACGGAAATTACTTTCAATTGAACTGAATCATAGAAGAGAAATGAATCATATTTGTGTGTTGTTTTTTGTTAAATTAATCTTACGCTAAATCAGCTTTCATTTTATCGCGTAATGCTTGTTCATCTTTTTCTTTGGCTAAATTTAATTCTTTTTTTACTTTTTCAATATAATTTCGATTATCTTCAAGTATTTGTAATTTTTCTTCATTCGCAGATCTTTATAAATAATGAAATTGAAGATTAAAAAACGAAATATATATATATATCTCGAAGTTGACTTTAGAATTCCGTTGATTTTAAGTGTACCTCTTCTTTTGGACTACTTCTGGTTCTTGGTGAGAGTACACCGCATCGGGCTCAAATTTTTACTGTAGCTAAATTATCGAAAATGATGGTACTCAAATTCGGTGAATAAATTTTAAAAGCAGGCCTTCATGGGTTTCTGCAGAGACCTTCGAAAACCATCGAACTTTCTTACGATTCGGATTGTACTTTGTCTGGTCGGTCTGAAATTGTTTTTCGAAGTACTTGAAGCAAAGTCTTAAAATGTATTTTTAAGCTTTTTGAAAAATGTGAATCTCTTCGCTTTGATTTTAAAAAATACGGAAAGCAATAACTCAAAAACTCGTAAAGACATACTTTTTAAAACTGTTCCTCGAACTTAAGTCTTATCAGTTTCGATAATCTAGTTGTGATAGAAATTTAAGTTCGATTCTAAATGTAGAAATATCAAATTATTATGGAATAACCAATACTACATGATTTTCAACACGCTGTATATAGTTGATATGAATTTAATAAACAATTTCTTCATAAATGTCGTGCCATTATAATATTTAATAATGACGAAAATATTCTACTCGAAGCTAGATGTCTATCTAAGGATGTTGAAAATCAGATAGCAGTCAAATTGTAGTTGTAGAGGAGATATTTATACTCTATTCATTATGATAATGCCTTCATCCATGTTAGTCCCATTTTCTCAATTCTACCTCTTCAATAAACATGGTCTTTACCATACAAATAAGCATCTAATACTTTATAATATAAGGTCTACTGGTTGCTGGTTATAGACAACTGAATTCTAAAGTCAACTCGAATATATATATATATAGATATTTACTCTTCAAGTCGTGCTCGAAGCTTAGTTAGATCATATTCTTCACGTGGTGTAATTAATGTATCATCCTAAAGAATATTTAATTTCGAAAGATGATTAATCGTAAAGTTTCTATTTACATTAGTTAAATGAGTTCCTGATTTATTCAGATTACCATTGGATAAACGACGTACAGCTGCATTTGCTGCTAATTCAGCTCGTTTTTTTCGATTAATTTCTTCATCGTTATCGTTGAGAGAATCTTTTCTATTCTCAATTTTTCTATCTATAAAATATATTCGATTTAGATTTGCAAAAATATTTACAAATAATAAACCTGTATTGTCCAAAGAATTTAGTGTACGAGATGCAGACATTGTTGATGTTGTAATTGCTTCTTTTTCTTTTTGTTCAATACGTGCAGAAAGTTTAGGATCAATACCTAATTTTGATCGAAAAATATTATTAGTTTTTCTTTTCGAGAATTTGTATTTATTTACCAAAATCAACTCGTTTTCTAAAATCATCACTACTTTGTTCCTCATCATCATCTTCACTGTTCATTAATTCTTCTTCAATTTCATCATTATCACTATTTACATATTGAGCATCTAAGGAAAATTAAAAAATAAAACAAAAAAAAAAACTTTTAGATTTTTTTCTTTTTTTGTCTTTACCATATTTATTAGTTTGTGCTTCAGTTCTTGTCACAATAGATGCACTAGCATTAGTTCCCATTGGAAGTGATTTTTTTCCACCTGATAAATAATCACTTACAGTTGATGTACTTCTACCAGTTTGAGTGAGTGTGCCTAAAAACATTTCTTTTTAATATGAAGTCAAATACGTAATATTATTCTGATGGAATGCATCGGCATGATCAAAAAAAATTTGATTACGCTGCTGCGTCATAACTTCATAAGCTCTTTATCATTGAGTCAATAGCAGAATGTCTCATCTATAATATTGATTTATAATAATTCCATTGTTCAATTTAGTTCTAAAATTCTTTTTACATAGAGTTCGATTTCAACGAAACATATTTGAATGATGAATTCTATATTGGAATTTAGATTGTACTTAGCGTTTAGGATTATATGTAAATACAGTATAAATTGAACATTCTATAGGTTTGGTATCTGACTACCCCATCATTAGCAACAGTTGTAAATTGAGCTATGTGTTTGTATACAAGAAGAAAAAATCTGAATAATAAATATCTATTTACTCGTTCGATTTTCAAGCCTACACATGCAAATATTGAATTGATAGAATAAATCATCAACACTGCATCATATTTAACTATGCTATTATAGTAGAAACTGAGTTCTCGTATGACACAAATAAAACGAATTGATCACAATGATTTAATCATTAGAAATATCACATATTCGATTACTCAACACTTCAGTGAGGAATACAAATTGGAATGATTTAGAATTTAATGTGAAAATTTAGTGACATTTCATGATAAATTATGTTATTATACACAAACAATAATCAATTTGTTGTAACACGTTGTGTACAAGTCAATTTATACTAGCTGAATTATCAACAATAACTATTTAATAATTATTATTCTCTAGAGTAAGGTTAAACGAAAAAATTTATTTTGTATATTATTTAAATCAAAGCATATTTTATAGGCAGCACTATAGTTTACAACTATGCTATCGAAATTTATCTAAAGCTCTTTTTTTTCTTTTTTTTAAATGAAATATGGGAACGAACAGAGACACTTAGTGCACAACATCGCTTTAGGTTCATTGTTGACTTTGTATTAAATCCGATATTATTATTTATTTAATAGAAGAAGCTATCAATATAATATCATATTTGTCAGACCGGACATCATGTAATCTTTGGCGCAATTATTCTATCGAACGTAATTTAATTGACTAAGTAAATATAACATGATTTGCTTGTACGATTTCTAAGTAGGTTAAAGAAAGCTTTCAGAAAAGGTATTCAAAAAAAATTTTCATTTAATTGTTTAAGAATAGGACTTTCCATAAATAATCGTGCCGATTATTTTGAATATTTCATAAAATAAAATTTAAAAAATATATATATTTTTGTTTTTATATAATATTCTCAAAATTTTTTGTTAACTCTTATTATTTACCCCTTGGATTTGTGTCAAGTAGAGTTGTTGATGATGGTTGTTTTCGTCTTAAAAAACAAGACAGAATTTCGTATTAAAAAATACAATGAAAAATTCGACTAAAACATACCGTTCCTCAAGAACACGAGTTTTGTATATTTCGTCACATGGATGATCCCATGATGATTTACCAGTATCAAAATTAAAATAATATAATTCTCCATTTTCTTCTTGACATGGTTTCCAACCAAGTGGTAATGGTTTCATAATACCTTCTTTAGCTAACCAAAGAAGGTGAGGTTCCTATAGCAAAAAGAAAATTTCAAATGATTGTTTACAATTTTTTCGCTTTTTTTTTTGTTCTCGATAATATACTTTGTCTGGATCAATACCAATGTAAATTGCATATTCACGAATTTCTTCTTGAGTAGGTTCATAATTTTCATCAAATTGTTCTTGTAAAATCGTTTGATTATTTATTTTATATTCCGGATATGTAATCATTATTGAATATGAAACGTCTCTTTCTTTAGATTCTTTTTTTTCCAATGACAACAACAAAAATTTATTTATAGATTTAAGAATTGTCGCAGCTGATTTTATTTTTTCTAAAATCTGATTGAATCATCAAATTGAAGGTCTTCTTGTTTTTATTTCATACTATACTTCTTTTCTCTTGTTCCTTTTCTTCTCGTCTTATTTCATAGAACCCATTGTTGTCAAAGGATACAACTCTTATACTCTCACTTTCCATTAGATGTCAGTGATAAACATGAATTGAATGAATAATAGATTTTTTTTTAAAATCATATCTAGTCATTTTTTTTATTATTATTTTAATAAATCGAATGATATTATTTTTGAGTCTTTTTAATTAATAATAACGACATGTATCTATGAATAAAATGAAATGTTATTTTTAATGATGTTTAACCATGAACGAAACGTTTGCCATGAACAAAACGTTTTTCAAGAAGATCATCATCGTTATTTTGTTGTTCAGCATCTTCGTTCGCTGATCGACCATGAACAAAACCTTTTAAATAAGCTCTGAAAAAAATTATAATAAATTAGTTTATTCCACAGGAATAATAAACTTTATTACCGTTTAGTAAAAAATTGATTATTCGGACAAAGATGTTGACAAAAACTACTGAGATCATCATCTGATTCACTAAATACTGATCGAGCTACACGTATATTGGATCTAAAGAAATTTGAATATAAAAAACAAAAATATGACATCAAGGAATTAGATTTACTCTGCTTTTGAATCAGATGGCTATAATAAAAAGTTACGAACTTTCTGTTTAAAATAATTCAATAAGAATTTTGAAAACTTACACTAGATTCAGAAAGAATAGTAGTCAATAGTAGGAAGATAAGGCACACAGCCATAGCAAATCGGACAATGATATTAGATTGCATGATGATGTGTTGTTCACTCTAGATAAACGATAGAATAAATGTCGCCTGAACTATTACTTTCTACTTATAAAATAGCACAACAAAAACAAGATGAGAAAAAAAGATCGATGTGCGCAGAACATGTTTCTCTCTCGATGGAATCCTTATAAAAAGAATTATTTGTCTTGCCTCATCGTTTCTAATGATCAACAGTCATTCGTTTCATTATCACTTTAGACGCATCCATTCATCTTATCGGAAGCCAACGAGCTCGAACTAATTCAATTCTAGCTTCTAGTGTGTAGGTTTCGACAAATATATACCTCATTACGGGTCTACTGGAATTATTTGAGTACCTAAACGATAAATATAAATTAGATGTCTTATAAATGAATTAAATTAGTTGTCATATTGATCTTTTCGATCTCAATATACAACACTAATACAGTCAAATGATGAACAAAACATAAAATAAATGACTCGTAATTTGTACAAACAACGATATTTTTTTTGACATTTCTAATAAAGACAATTTTTGCCATTCTCTTAAGTTATTTTGTAGTTTAATAAAACTGTTTTTGTTTTAATTTAGTATAAATATTGAAATTGATTTTTATTTTTTGAATAGCTTTTCGTATAATAATCCTTTCAAAGAGATCCATCATTGAATTAACATACATGATTGTGAATATACAAATAATGTATATAAATTTTATTTCGAAATAAAATAAGAAAACAAAAAATTTGCTGAATTAAACAATATAAAATAAAAGTGATAAATTTTAAAATATCTGCTCGATTAATAAGAGATAGCTTGAATGAATAGATGTATATCGATTATTTTAAGTTAAAATGAGTTTTTTATTTTCACCAGCTAAAGATGAATGATCACCCAAAATAGTTGCTTTAGCTAATCCATATAATTTTTTCATAATGGATGCTGATGCGTCCCAATATTCTGCTTCGGCAATATTAATACTAAAAAAAATAATTGATATATTCGTAATAAGTAATATAAGTTTACTTACCGAAGCAATGTTAAGTCAGGATCATCAAGACCTTTTGGAAACCTTATTATAAAAAAATACATCAATTTTATCTATATTTGTATTTTATATAGAACACTAAAAAGTCTTTTTTTGACTGTCCTAAAAGTCATCATTTAAACGTAAGTATTCTCTTATCATACATAGACATGTTTAAGATGATGTGCAACTTTTTGGCCTTGTAGTTGTGTTGTCTCATTTCTTTCATATTAATCACACACGATTGCTTAATTGAGTTTGAACTTTCTCTGTGCAAAATGTTGCATTGTTCACTACTGATAAGAAACCTAAACTGGATTAAAACTCTCATAAGATAGACTTATTTCACCCATAGATTGAATTTTGTCATTGATATAAAAAGTTCTTTATTTTCGTAAAAAATCATCGTATGAAACTCTTCGTGTCCGAATTCAAACCCATATCGACAATGCTGTATGACTAGAAATGCATGGAACCGATTTTAGTCCCGATCCAGATCATCAAGATACCGAGAGAAAATTTGATCCAATCGGAACTAAAGATTATAGTTGATCATTCTATTCTTCTAAGCGAATTATCGTATGCATTATGAATGAGAACATAATTCAAGAGAGATGACTCAATCAAAAACAAATTTTGAAAAATTCTTTTAAACGTGATGCGAATAAATTTTGAAATAGTTTTCTTTGAATCAGGACTGGGTTCAGTAGAAAAGAAGCTACCTGGACCGATGGAAAAACAAGTTATCCGACCGCAACTTAAAAACCTTGATTCTGTTCATCTATGTGTGCTGTTAACATAAAAGAAATCAGAAAAAACAATTATGTATAAGATCTGACAGACTGCAACTTTGCACATAATCTTAAATATATCTATGCATGATAAGACAATACTTGCATTCAAATTATGAATTTTGGAAGAGTCGAACAAAAAACTTTTTTAGTGTGCCCTGTATTATTTTGATTTACCATGTTTTAAGAGAATCATTCCATAAATCCTTCTTTTTTGTATTATCATCAACTAAGTCAGCACGACCACTAATGGAAACATCTTAAAAGAATTTGATTATGTAATGATAAGATTAATACATAGAATAGAAACATACATGATTGATGATCAGGATCTGAATAAGATACATTAACTTCTTCGGAGCCTTTTTTCAATTCTGTAATTTTATGTGCTACAATTAAAAAAATGTCACAGACCAATAAATATTGATTTATTAATAAATATTTTACTGCTTCGCTGTGTAAAAAACCAAAGTTCACCATGAAATGAATCAGCTTGCTTATTAATCATTGGTCTCAAAAAAAATGTAAATTTCAAAATTGTTTTAAAAATGATTTTAATAGAAAAAAAAAAACAAATCTACCGGCTATGAAGTGTTCCATCTTCAGTAACCGTTGTTAACATTGCAAATTTGACATGACGAATAATTTCGAAAAGTTTTTCAAGGTCTTTTTGATTTTCATGACTTGTTGCTGTCATCTTAATTTTATTTTTCTAAAACATTAATTAGCATAAACAAGACAAAAATAACAAAATTAATTGAGTGGTGTTTATTAATAAGGTTTCAAAAGGAACAAAATACAGATGTACTATTAATAGTCTAGGATAAATTGAACAGGAGACTTGAATAATATTGTATAAGTTTATTTATTTCTAATCTTCTAATGCATTGGCTTTTTTCAATCTTTTTTCAAGTTCACCTTGTTTTTCTAATTTTTCTGTATCATCACCACCACCAATACATTTTCCATCAATGAATACACGTGGAACTGTATCTGCATCTGTGATTTGGCCAAGTACGTCCATGTAATCATCACCATTTTCGATTTCATCAAGTTCGATGATTTTATAATCTTTTAATTTATATTTGCCAAGAATTTTTTTGGCTTTTGTACAATATGGGCCTTTATAAAAAAAAAAAATATTTGCTATTTTGTTTCTTTGAAGATAAAAATATTTACTCTTACGTACAATAAGTTTTTGAAAATACTATAACTTTATGATCTTTAAGTAATTGATTGATTTCATCACTTACACTGTTTCCACTAGCTTTATCGCCTGAACCGCTTGATGACATGATGAATAAATGAGAAAAAAAAGCGTTGAAACGCAATTTTATATTGAAAAAAAAAATGAAGAAAAATCTAGAAGAAATATGAATCATCAATTCAAGCACAAAAAAAAGCTACATTCGAAAGAAAAAAAAAGGAAAGAAAGAAAGAAAAATAAGAACCTTAGAATATACTGAAAAAAAAACAATGCAAAAGTTTTGCATCGTCATCGTCATAATAAGAGGCTTACTACACAACTGTTCTTAAAGAAATTTTGATTCCTCTACGTGGCAAGATAAATAAGAGAATGACAATGTCGATGTATATTTAATTTTATGAAGTATTCAATATTTCGTCGAACTTCACGATAAAATTTTATCTTACGATAAACTTTGACTGAAATTGGTTGATGCGTCATTAATGTCGAACATTGATATTTGTTATCTTAAGTTATCAAGTATAACATTAACCAGTGCGAGTTCTATATACACAGCTTTGACTGCGAACTTTTTGGTGTTATTCAGTAATTTTAGAAGTATTTTGAAAAATAACAACATTATTGTGGAACTCGCATATATGTTTTCGAAGGAAGACCAGAGTGTGAGTTTTAAGTCGAAATTTTTCGATTCTGCCCTAGCGTGTTTTTGGTTTACGTAGCAGGTGACGGAAATTGTTTAGAGACCAATGAGCATGTTTTTCAAACAACTGAGAATAACAGACTTCTTTCCCATAGTTTCTTTGCAATGGAAAAAAGACCTTTCTAGAGCATTCCAAAGCCTTCCTTGAAATTTAAATGACTAACATGCGTTTGTCAATGTTTTTTGTATAAATAGATAATTATACCAAATATGTCAAGAATGATGGATACTATTGTATTTATTTATCACGATCGTTATATGATCAACGTAAAAAAAAGCGTGAACTGAGCAAATTGTAACTTTGGAGAATAATCAGTGTTAGTGTTTCCTAGCTTATTAATATGCATAGTAATGTTTTGATGTTGACATCTGCTGTGAATACAATGAATATATACAAAAGGCTTATTTACTAGTTAAATCAATGGTTAGATTAATAATACTGAGACATTAAGAAAAACAGAATGTGCAAAAGAAAAGTAACTAGTGCGGATGCCAAGAAGGCGAGCATACAATAGAGCGCCAGTAGAATGTAAAAAATTCTGTGCGAAATGCAAAAATCCAGCAAATATCTTTGAAAAATAATTATAGTCTGCTCAAGATTGTCCACTTTACATATTTTGTATTAATATAATGAAGCTAAAAAACACATGTGTACTCCATGTTTTAACTTCAAAAGCAATATGCTAACAAGCTTTTTATTTCACTCTCAAAAAAATTCAAATTGCCACAAGTTGAAGATGATCCTATATATCCAAAAAAAGCCTCTAATCAAAATTAAATAACGCGCCAAAAGATATGCCGTTTGTCTTTTTATGCAAGAAAGATCAACAGAATCTAATAATATTAATGTGCTAGATCTCGATCCTAACAATAATTTTTCAAGTCGTCGACTCTATTATCTTAGTTCATGGTTAGATAAATTTGAAAAAAATAAACTTGAATTTTATTCTGTTATATTCGGTATATCTGGTATTAGTTTGATCGTTCTTGGTCTATGTATTTTTATTATAATCTATACTGCATACGAACATCATTTAGTAAATAAAATTGATTGTTCAATTATAAATATAACATATACACACGTAAAATTATGTCCATCACGTCGATGTCGAATTTTTAATTATTGTATTCCTTATATATGTACAAGTAAGTAAAATTGATTTTGTTTTAAAAACAAGATGTTCTAAAAGTTCGAACGACAAAAAAAAACCATGAATAGTACCTGAGGAATATAAGAAATTTAAATATTCTTTTACAGTTTGATTGTAAACTGATCGAAGCTTGTAGATAAAATGTCTGTGTCTACAAAAGCCAGACTTAAAATAATTTTACTGATGTTCTAATTTGAGACAATTGTCGTTGTAAAACAAAAATTGAAAGTGCATTTCACATTTTAGAAGAACTACAGCAATACCTGAAGAGAAAATTCATGAAGTTAATTATACTTGTGGAAATGAGCTAGGATCAAATATTTAGTCTATTACATATACGCTTGATAATTACTTCAACCAATGACATATCGAATTAGGATAGAACATCTTTTATAAAAACCATATAAGGTACTTCTACAAAGAAGAGTTGCATAGATCCAATACTTGATCCTGACTCATTTTTACAAGCGTCTTTAACTTCATCAATTTTTTTCCGTCAGTAATTACTCTACAATCATCGATTTTCGGCAGTACTGGTTTCAAAAAAAATCGCTGAAACATTTTGCTAATGCAATGTTTAGTTGGAGTGTTGTTATCAAATTCAATTTTTAGTTAGCGTTTCATAATGCTGGTTCATAAGACTTTGACCATGAGTAGAACTATTTCAATGGATATAAAACCAAACTGTAAAAAAATATATTTAAGTTTTTTAAATTGTCGAGTATCTATTCACGTTTTCTTTCTTTCGAACTTTCAAAACATGCTCTAAATAAGAACAAAAGTAACCTATTTTTCTTCTGACCTAGTTATTTTTGTACGTTATCATTATAATAATTTTTCATATGAATCGAAACTTTTTCCATATAATATTAATTTAAATTCGTCATGTTCTTATGAACCATCTTCATGTATATCTCGTTCACGTATTCAAAATGAACAAATAACATTTTTAAAAACGATTATGTTTAATCATTCAAAACTTAATCAATGTTGTCTTCATTCTTTAACTCAACAACCTATAATTTGTAATAATTATCTTAATTCTATACAACATTCTATTAGTATTATATCTATTGTTATGTGTTTTTTGATTGGTTTAATTTTAATTTTTGTGGGAATAATAACACACTTACATCTTAATAATTATTTCAAATCTTCTCAGAAACATGAAGATTTTCTTGATACAATACTAAATTTTCATTTTAGTAATGGTACAATAGGATCAGCTATTGAAAAAACAACACCAGTTAATTATGATATATTAACACAAACAATAAGTCATCATAATACACCATCAACAACAAAAGTTTATCCGAATGATGATTTACTTTTATTTGATATTGATGAAGAAAATAAGATTTTTCAACAAGAATGCTTACATTTAAATCATCAAGAAAAAATACAAAAGGAAATTATTCGGTTAGTTATTCGAATAAAAAATACTTAGGGCATAGTCAAAAAGTAATGACGTGTCGGCACTTCTATATTTCTCTTGCTTAAAGTAGTATATAAACGTAGTTATAGAATAAATTATCCATCTGAAATTGGTTTGATTCTGTTCTATCAAGTCCAATAACTCAAAATCACATAATGCGAGGTCCGAAAACTTTTGCTGGAGTGGCTTTATCGTGATACGTTTCCATTGAAGATAACTATATAAGTATCAAATGAAAGATCTGAGTTTCATGATTTCATTACCAATAGGCTAAAAACAATTATACACATAATATTGGTGACTGACAATTTAACCCTGTTCTATATAATGAATTAAAAGAGAGCCACTAGACTTCAAGAAGATGCTTGCTAAAATTGTTACAGATAGAATAGACAATTTACACGATTTACTGTCCGCGAATTTGCTGCCCATTGATAACTTCGACAAAGGGAAATGAGTAATTATTGCGACAAACAATATATTATCGGAACAAAGAAAAAATTCCGATAAATGTATGAACAAGTAACAACAAAACAGAGAGAGATGACTGTTTCACGTTTTGATGAACGTTGAAAATATCTCAATAGATCAGCTTTCAAGCGCACTGAAATGTCAATATAACCTTCATCACAGCGTTGCCACAATGTCATTAAATATTCATCACTTATGAATTTATTTTTCCAACATCTTAGATTTGAACCGGATGGATGTGAAACTTGGATGAGAAAAAGAACTATACGCACACCTTCAACAGAAAGTAAATCGTGCACATAGGAATCGACATATATGAATAAAATTAAACTAATATTGAAAAAAGAAGATGATGCATCAATGACGACAACATCTAATAAATAGTGGTGAACAACTTTCATCAGAATTTTAATTGTTATGATACCTCCTAAAGAATGATGAAACATTATACAATTATAGAGCACTGTTTAGACTATGAGTATACACAAAGAGAGAAAATCTTCTGCAGCTTTATATACGGTCCTAGAATAATGATTCCAACCACCCAATCCGTCGAACTTTTCTAGTTTCAATGATAATCGCCCAGATTCGGCCATCGGATTCCTATTTCAAGTTCTTATCATTGTTCGGAGTCTACTAGTTGAAACTGCTTATGTTTCTTAACTTGAGATGTTATACTGGCAACGTCTTTACTTTTACAATGCCTTAAGTAGAAAATTTTTTGTTTGATCTTTTTTTAGACAATATCAATTAGATAATGATGATGTAAAAGCTATATTAAAGACAATTGAAAATGATTTTCAACAACATAATCATATAAATTTACCGAAAAACTCTATTGAACGAACAAAATATTTACTAGAAAAAATCGATAATCTTGATCTGTATTTTCCAACAATACATAAACAATTATCAATGGATCAACTATCAGACTCCATATCTCTCGATCATCATTCTTCACCTATTTCTGCTTCACATCCACACGTTCATTTTCGAATGAAATAAAAGAAGATTTTCTTTTTCTTTTATAAGATAACATTTTCAAATGTTTTACCTGTTGTTATGAGAAACAGAACAAAAAAAAAACAATTGAGCTTACATAAGAAGTTATATTTCTTTTTAATGATTTAAACTCTGGTTGTTCTCTAGTGCTAATTGATCAAATGATGATTCAATTGTATGAATTTTAAGATAATCAATTTCAAGTGGATGTAATTGACCAACAATAACAAGTGAATGTAATGGACGACCTAAATCAATTTCATCAGCCATTCGACGTAAAGTCGTTGTTATAAACTTTTCATCTGACCAACCAATACGTGCTGCACCCACACATAATGTTTTCTCATTGATTACTAGAATAAAAACCAATAAAACACAATTTTTAATACAAAGAATGTTTTTTGCTTGTGGAAAAATGAAAATTTTCTCAAACTCGGGCGACGGGAGGCGGCGGTAAGGTGCACATTCCTCGTCCCCCATATCTCTGAATATTTGTATAGCTCTTCAGCTAGAATTAAATGAAAACTCTTATTCTGTAGGTGTGGTAAATGAGTGAACCGAAAGTTCTGAGACAAAGCGTTTCTTCATTTTTCGACCGAGGTTAAGAGGGCCAGCAGAGTTTGAAAAACACTGGACTAGAATGAGAATTTCGTACTCTTTATGAATCTAGGTTCAGAGTCTTTTGAAGACTCACAGATTGAAAGGCTTGTAGTGAACCTTTGAAAGATTTGAAAATAAAGCTAGAACGAAGAGAGTTTCTCTAACTAGCTTTGAGACAGGAAATGCGATCAATTTCTCTCTAGCCCACTTCTTTTTACTTGACTACATCAAATTTTTGACTTTTTTTGGATCAGCACTCGTATATTAGATGTTCTAAAAGGAAATGATGCCTCGTACCGCATTCATTCTATTAGCGATTTTTCATACAATATTCGAGATGAAATTGCCCTCTAAAGAGAGAGAGCTAAAAACTGAGAGTCTCGACGCTATCCTTCAAAATGACTTTGGTCATTTTGTAAGTCTGGAAATTGAAGTTTTGCAAAAGTCTTATTAGATCTCTTGACAAAATTCTTATTGCTTTTAGACGCCTTATATAGGACTCATAATCAGAATATTAATTTGTCAAGAAGTGATTGCTTTTTGTATTGATGTATTTGGAATATATTTTACTTCAACCGTGGAAGTTTTATCGTGCACTTAAGCCCGTCCAAACTTTTTTCCAAGTCTTTCAAAGGCTTATTCATGGCTCCTAATCTATGAATTCCGAAATATTTCTAAACCTAGATTTGCAAAGCGCAGACAAATTCTTATTCTAACGCGTTGTTTTAAAATTTTTACTAATCTTCTTAATCAGCGAACAAAGTGAAGGAATATCTTGTCTAAAAGCTTTCCGCTCCATCGTTATATAACGTTTGATGAAGAAGAAAATGCCATTTGATTTGTATTTCAAATTATGTTTGAATTAGATGAACTTTCGCTTTTTCCTGATTCTTTGCCGTTCAAGATTGTATTCATTTCAATTCTACTTGATCTGTTTCTTCTCCTGGCAATGATCTCGATTTTGATTAGATTTAATTACAAAATAATCTAAACCACGTCCACCTTTAATTGAATCATTTGTAATTAACATCTTTTTCAATTTATAGCTGAGTTTTGATAAATGTTCTCTGAAAAAAAAACGATCTTGGGCCAGATACATTCAAATCGTGTGATATTATTAGGATATGTTTAGACTGTAGTGGAAATACTATAATAAAGCTTTTAGCCATTTACCATGGTGTTTCCAGAAGATATTCAATCAACAAAGTAAAAAAATAGCGCATTTTGCAATGCAACATCTCGATGACCCTTCATTTTATACACTTATTTTTTTCTCCGTTTGAAAGAGCATGAGAGAGCCCCCTTTTAAACTCTTACTTTTTAAGTAGAGAACATGAATGAAAAGTTCAAGGCATCGAAAAGCTATCCAAACACAATGTTCTAATTATAAGAAAGCTCTCTTATGCAACAGTAACAAGAGTTAATTAAGAAAAAGCTACTCTGTTATATTCTGCATCTTGATATATTCTTTCAAACAAAAAGTAATACTATATGTATAGAATGAACGCTCACAGAGAACTCTGGGTTATACCATGGAAAAATTGAAAAAAAAATTGTCGCCCTCTCTAAACAAAATATTTTTCCAGCCGAAGATGAATTTTGGCAAATAAAGAGGTCCTAAATAGAAAGTTATGTTGTTTATGAAAGATTAGGCCTCAGTCTATCATCTTTCCATAAATTTATCTCAATTTCAATTTTTCTGACAAAAATTGTTTTTTTTTCGAGGTAGAGGTGATCCTACAGATGATCATATTGTATGCTTTAAAAATCAACAATCTTCACTTTTTTTCTAGTAATCAAAAACAAATATTTAAATTTAAAAAAAAACAAAGAACAAACTTACCATCTTCAACTTGTAATTGTTTGGCTGATTCAAGGATTTGAGAAGCTGCTTGTGATGCAGTCATAAAACGCGGTGGTAGATATGTTTTTTTCTTTCTAAAAACAAACAACAATTTCATATAAAAAAATTTTCATAGATTGAATAAGTATAAACAACAAACTTCATATAACTAGCTTCATCTTGTTCTTTGATTTTGATATCTGAAAATTTTCAATCGAATAAAAATAGATTAATTAAAAATCTAAATACCTAATAAACAAAGTGTGTGTAAACCACGTCGTCGATTAGCAACAATTTTTTCACAAAAACTTGTTGGTCGCCATGTATCTGTCCAAAAAACAATCGAAACCGTTTCACCGAAATGATATAACTTTACACATGTAGATATATAATTGAATTTTTTATCTATTGAAAATATTTTACCTGTAATCCACAACTACCAATAGCATTCATTATTGATGCATTATGTATGACTTTATAAGGAATATTAAGTTCAACAGCGCGTAAAATTAAATCAGTATGAGTTGTTGCTGACAGTGGATCACCACCAACAAGAAATGCTATATCATGATCTCGAGCATTATTTAATATCGTATCTTGAAAAGATAAACAAGCAAAAATAAATCTCTAATGTTAACTGAAAAATTTTTTCTTACCAGCTGAAAGTTCAACAAGTTCTCTGTCAGCAGGTATGACTTGAATTCCTAAATATTCTTCTAATGTTTTTTGATCAATTTGTAAAATTGTTGTATATGTTTCCAAATAAACTTCTTTACAATTTTTAATTATACGTAAACCTTTAACAGTTAAATCATCAACATCAGCTAAACCAAGGCCAATAAAATAAAGCATATCTGAAAATCAAAATAAAAGCAGTGCGCAAACTTATTTTCAGTTTTGTTTTGAATGAATAGAAAACTAAATCATGCTAATATAATCTTTAATGTATCTAAAAGATTTTCTCTTTGATTCATATTTTATTTGCATTTTGTTTTTGTACAGTTTGTAAATGTTTATGTTGACAATTACTTAATCGTGATGAATATTGATCATTTTTATTTTTTGCTTACGACTGTCATCTTCTGATGCTGGATATGCATTTAGTTTAAAAGCATAATTAAAACAAATTTTACACTTTTTTTCATTTGACTTACTAATATTAATGAAACGATTGTTTTATTGAATTTGTCGAAGCTAAGAAAAATTTTTATTTCAATAAAAAATAAAACGAAGAATTATTTTACGTATAAAATTATCATTTATTATTGATGCTAATCATGTTGCTTCATCTTTTCTTCGATAATTCTCTTGTAGAAGTTTACGCATATGTTCACTTTTTTATCATCTATAAATGCACATAGAAGAAAAAAAAAATACAGTTTGTTTTTGTTTAGTCGTTCTATATGAACATTCTATCTCGTGCTAAAAGCGAAAAAGAAAAACGACACATTTTTGTGTTTGCATTCAAATGAAATTTTGAAACTACATTAAAATGAAATACACAGATCTATTTCAAAACAAAAAAAAATATTTTTGTCTATACAATCAACTTTATTTTTATTGATCACAATATTTGTGTTGAGGCACTTTGACTTTGATATATAATGGCACCAACAAAATTAACACCACTTGCAAGAATAAATACTGGAAACCAGCGACCATGACTAGCTACAACTAATTCAGCAGTTACAGGACCAGCTAAGATTCCAGGAATAGTTGCAAGAGTATTTGATATAGCAAATGTTATACCAGCATGATTAGGTGCTATATCAGCATGATTTGATAGGTGACCAGCTGAGTTGCATGCGCTTAAACCCATACTTATGGATATAAAGCTAAAAGAATAAGAATTTAATTTAGATCATAATTTTAAAAAAAAATTAACATTACACAACAGCAAGAAGAAGATTATCAACTGAAATAAATAATAACATAAATAAACCAGGTCCAAGTAAACCAATAGCTGTCATTAATCGACGAACTGATAAAACAGTCCATCGATTTTGAATAAGAGAATCAGCAAAATGACCGGCAGCTAAAGCATATATAAAAATAAAGAATATCTGTTTCGTATGCGAATACTTCGAATAAACAAACATATTCATATGAACCGTGTCAATTTTTATATAATATTTCAGTCATATAGAGACCTTCGTAAGGTTGAGGTAATCTTAGACAACTTTAAGTTTTTAATAATCAATTGTTTAATTCAAATAGAAGTACAATAAATAGAGAATTATTTTTATGAAATACGATCTAGAAGGAGTATTAAATTTAGTGTTTTACTCGATATGTGAGCAGAATCTTCTGGAAAACTGATTTGGTCCTTTTCAGTTTCTAAATCGGTTCTCTAAAACAGACAATCTGTATAACACAATGGCTGAAGTGTAGGTGTAAAAATTTAGACTCGGTACAGACCACATATGAATAACGTCTCTTTGTAGGATGTGAACTACATATTTATTGCATCTCTGGAGGATTAATTGAAAGGAGAATGAAGAGATATACCCTAAAATAGATCGAATAAAACAATCTTCCAATGATTAATAAAAGCAATTACATTATGTTTCACAATTTATTCCCATAGGAATTGCGCTAATAACTTTTTTGACAGCATTGACAAAATTGTCAATACTCTGTCTCTATAAAAAGAAAACTGTACGAAATTATAAATTTCTATTTGGAAAGAAATAGTTTTGAATGAAAGATCTCGATGAAAACAGTAATATAGAGATTTAAAAATAATAAACATATTAAACTGAAGTTTGATAACTATATTTGATTACAATCAATTATTTATATCACTATTTATTATTAGTAAATTCTGTAATGTTTATCTCCTTGATCATAAGATATAGTTTATTTCTCTTATTATGTTTATAAAAGCATACTTTTAACTATGAAATCCGCTTTCAATGAAATTCATATCAAAGCTGAAATGTATACATATATGATAAACATATCAGGGTTTACCTCATGCTTAAAAATTTCAGTTCTCTATCTTTAATTTTTCTCGCTAATCCTTCTAAGGTTCTCTTTAAAAAAAGTCAATTTTTGATCACTGAAATCGAAATTGAGACAAATGCAAGACCAAATAGGTCGAGCTTTGATCTTTCATAAACGATATGGTTTTATATTGGGTACCTCATTTTTTGCCAAAAAGCCATTTTCCGCTTTAAGAATGTGCTTTTCTTTCTTTTTTTAAATTGTATAACTCAGTATTCTATGTGGGCGTTCATTTTGTAAATTCAATATTTGCTTTTATTTGAAAGAGCATCTCAAGATGCAAGACATGACCGAGTTTGTTTTTTTTTTGAATTAACCTTTTACTATTATATAAAAGAGTACTTTTATAATTAGGATGCCATTTTTTTGAGAGTTTTTCGATATGCTGAACTTTTCATTCCTTTTTTTCATTTAAAAAGTAAGAGTTTAACAAAAAGAACTTTGTCAAATAAAACTAATTAAGTATATAGAATGAAGACTCACAAAAACTTTCGGTTGTCGAATGAGCTATTTTTGACTCTGATGAGTTAAATATCTCTCGAGAACGTCAGGATACAAGTTCTGAAAATTTTACTCTAGTATCTCTACTGCCGTTCCAACATTTCCCAGAAAATGTTATGAGATTTAAATGTATGTAGCCCAAGGTCGACTTGTGAGGGAGCGAGTAGCGTCAAAAATTATATCAATCATATCAGTAATACCATGCAAGTAAAATATGGCAACATAGTGAATGTTTCACATTTCGTCAGACTTACAGTATGCTGTTTATTAATTTAAACTGAGAAAAATAAACATTATTTATTTTATTCAAATCATAAAGATATGATACTCTTTTTTTTTCGCTTTTTAAAGACATGCTTCTAAATTTTTACTTACCAACACCTAATAAACAATTCATAACATATGGAAATGCCGTAAATGATAAATTTGTTGGATCAGCATCAAATGTTTTTGTTAAATACGACGGTAACCATACCATAACAATGTATGATGACCAATTCATTGCAAAATGTGCTATATAAATTGCCCATAATGGCCAATGTGAAATAAATTCAATCCATCGATAATTTTTATTTCCTAGCTAAGAACACAGAAAAACATATAATTAAAATTATTTTCAAATAAATAAATACTTTCGATGATGGATGAATAAAAGTTTCATCAGTACCAATATTTCCAAGAGCAAGAGTAAAATCACGATACGTAACAATCCACATAAATGTCCAAAAGAAGCCCATTAAACCAAATATAAAGAAAACAGTACGCCAAGCTATATGAGGACATACCTACAACAACAAAAAAAATTTTTTTAATCAAAACAAAAGATCATATTTCTTCTTTGTCATACTAGAGCTGCAAATGTTTGTCCAACTGAACCTAATGCTATAAGATAACTAAAAGACCTTGATCGTTCTTCCATAGGTACATAATTACTGAATATATGAAATATTGTTGGTAAAGCTTAAAAAGAAATATTTTTCTTTCAATCTAATTCTTTATTTTTTTCGCTTCATTTACCTAAACCTTCACCGAACCCTAGAGCAATTCTTGAACAAATAAGAAAAAAAGGCAAAGGTGCCAAAAAAGGTGTTGCAAATGTTACTAATGACCATGTAAAAACTGCTAAAGCAAGAACAGCTTTTGTACCAAAACGTCGTACAAATATATGTGCGAATAGTTGACTTGTTAAATATCCAATAGGAAATGATGACAATATATAACCTTGTAAACGTAAATTCCAATTAAATTCTTTTGCCATTGGAATAATGGCAACTAAAACAAATATTTTATTTTAAAAAATTTTTTGAAGAAAAAACAACTCTACTTGGCATAATTGCTCGATCAGCAGCATTGATGAAATTTGCAAGTGAACAAAGAGTTACAGTACGAGATTTTCCGAACGACATTGGTTTAAAAAAGCAAAGAAAATCTATTTCGTTAGTTCATCAATATAGATTTATTTAGATCATTCTATTGGCTAATTCATAGTCCAAAAAAAAAAATGTCAATTCAATATCGTCAGAGGTCGCATTAAAAATAAATTAATTCGAGTATTTTATTTTTTCAATAAATACGATTCGAAGTTAAAAAACAATTTTTTTATTTTAAAATCAAATAAAATAAAAAGAAAAACAAAAAAAAAGAAATCTTTCTATTCTACTGTCCTCCTTCATTGAATTTCAGTGAGGTGATCTGGACTGGTAAACTAATGATAAAAATTGGATTCTAAATTATATACAAACGACAAACATTATGTTGTCTTTTGTTTTGCTTTAAAACTTTTAACAGTATATTTTTTTGTTTTTTTTTTAAGATCAGTTTTATAATACCTTTTTAAGAGAAAAAAACAATGGGTATTAGCCGTGACCATTGGCATAAACGACGAAAAACTGGTGGTAAACGTCCACAACCACATAAAAAACGAAAATTTGAATTAGGCCGTCCAGCGGCTCTTACCAAATTAGGTGCAAAACGTATTCATACTGTACGTACAAGAGGTGGAAATAAAAAATATCGTGCACTTCGTCTTGATATTGGTAATTTTTCATGGGGTTCAGAGGGTATTGCAAAAAAAACACGTGTCATCGACGTTATGTATCATCCATCGAATAATGTTTGTATTTCACAAAGAATGAATCTTTATTTTTAGTAATCATATTTTTTTGTTATGCTTATTAGGAACTAGTACGTACAAAAACATTAACAAAATCAACAATCGTACAAATTGATGCTGTTCCATTTCGACAATGGTATGAATCATATTATGCATTACCACTTGGTCGTAAGAAAGGTGTTAAATTAACTGAAGCTGAAGATGCTGTACTTAATCGTAAACGTTCAGCTAA